AGTCGAAAAGTTCTTAGAAAATGGAGCGCGCCCTAGTAGCCTAGGAAGCCAATCTTTTCCACGCGTAGATGGGCTAGCTAACTCGGCAATCTATCCCTCATCGTGCAAACAACGCGACTCGATTATCCGTGACTAATTAAACCCTTTCACAACTTAGCTCGTGCATAAGCGCGATTCGAGCCATGGATGGAATGTAAAGCTCAATCACATTCGTCTTCAAACTATCATCCCTACCGGGATCCCTCACAACATCATGACCCTGCCGTCGCCTCCACTGCGCATCGAACGCCCGTCGTCGGCGCGCTTCGTGAAGCACGCGCCACGTGGAACTGCCGCTGCGCCTCAAAGGATCACCAGCTCGGCGATTTCCCGACAAGCACCATCCATTCGACCCATAACGGATCAATCCATACCGAATCGGACACCGTTGAAGCAGAATTCATCGAGTCTTACTCGCCCGCGTTCTCAGCTAGTACACTTGGCGGTCATCTGCCCCCTCCTCCTCCTCCTCCTTACCCTGCCTTCCGCCACCCGATGCACCGCACTGCGCGCCAATTCAAACCCCTTCTCCCCCCGCCGCTCATCCCTCGTGTGGGCCGTGCGTGCGCGGGGAGTGGAAGGAGAAGTAGGCGGAGACGAGGCGGATGATCTGGCGGAAGCAGATGGCGCGGGGCGGAAGGAGATTGCGGAGCAGAGAGGAAGCGACGGAAGACGAGGAGGAGACGGAGACGGAAACGGTAACGGAAACGAAACTCCAGCGTCAACGGAAGCAGGGGACACTCACGGACGCCGTCGATCTCTATCCGGCTTGCAACACCAACGCCGTCGCCACGACGCTAGTACAAACGCTGACTTCTTGCTACAGGCAGGCTCACTCAGTACCCTACACGCGATCGGGACTTTGCCAGAGGCATCAGCATCATCAGCGTCGTTACCATCCGCCGCGCCAACGGTAACACGCAACAATGATGCCGTTACTGCGTTGCGCGACGCTGGTACTATGGGGCAAGACTTGCACTCTTTCGCCCAAGCTGATTCTGCGTTTTCTTCCTCCCCCTCCGCCTCCCCCTCCGCCTCCGCCTCCGCCTCCGCCTTCCCCTTTGCTTCCACTGCTGGGAATTCCCTGTACCCAGTCACCCCACCCGCGCCTATACCGCTCACGGATATACTTGTCAACATCACGCCCGTTTCCCCCTCCGTTCCCCCTCCCGCTCCGCCCGCCCCGCAATCGGAATCTGTTCCGCCCGCGGTGGTAGGTTCCGCGCCCGCCTCCCCCTCGCCCCCTTTCACGTTTCCCGGTTGGCCGTTCATCACGCCGCCTCCGCCTCCCGCCTCCGACAACGCGCTGTCCCCGCCCTCGCACAGCCCCCCCTTACCTCCGCTAACCACTCCCCCGCCCGCCAGTCCTCCGCAAACCACGCCACTTCCTCCGCCAGCTTCCCCCTCTGTTTCTCCCCCGGCTTTTTTCCCCAGTCCCGCGGGGAATCCCGCAACCCCGCCTGCAGTTCCTCCTGCTGCGCCGTCTCTTCCGCCTGCTGTCACTCCCCCGTCGCTTGCACCCCCGTCGCTTGCACCCCCGTCGCTTGCACCCCCTTCACTTGCACCCCCTTCGCTTGCACCCCCGTCGCTTGCGCCTCCTTCTCTCGCTCCTCCTTCTCTCACGCCATCCCCAGCTTCTTCTTCCCCCGTCCAGCCACCCGCGGAATCCCCTGCGCTTGCTTCTTCTCCCCCTCCCGCATCCACCCCCCCAGACCCCTTACCTTCGCCGCCATTTTCCGCCTCCCCCGAATCTCCCCCTTCCGCTCCCCCTCAAGCTTCCCCCCCATCTCACCCATTCCCACCCGTTACATCGTCATCCTTCCAAATAGGCGACCTTTCCACGTCAGCATCTGCCGTCGTCGTGTCAGCATGTGCTGTCGCCGCCGCAGCCGCGCTAATTTTCACCATTTTCATCTTATGCGGCCGCTACTCCCTGAACCCCCCCCGCGTCGGTGCGCATTTCCCCCCATGGTGGCGGCGCAAAACTCCGCCAGGCGCAGCAGATGCCGCTGCAGGCGGAAACACCGCCAACGCTGGCGGCAGTGGCGGAGGCGACGGTGGCGAAGGTGGTAACACGGTGACGTCTTCTCGCCCACACCGCGCGCGGGGATTGTGGTCGCTGTGCATCGTGTGCAGGACTCCCCAAACCACCCCCACTAACGACTCCCTTCCGCCGAGCCCCCGCGCGTGCGCGGAAGGATGTGCGCGGAGTGCAGGCGGGGCGCGGGTGGCAAACTGCGCTGGTTCCGCTTATGCTTCCCCCCACCGCGTGGATATCCCGGTTTCCCCCACCCACGTGTGCCCCGCGCGGTCACTGTGGTCGGAGTTTAACGACGCAGCAAACGGGGAAAGCGGCGGTATTGGGGGGACTTATGACGGGGATAACAGCGGCAAGGGAAAAATATGCGCGGGGGGAAGTAGTAGCTGGGGTGTCGCTAAATGGGATTTCGCGTCGCTCTCATTCGTTGCTGCGAGCAGCACGAAGACGACGGTTGCTATAGCGCGTACGAGCGATGTAAGAAACGGCGAGATGGAGAGCGGCGAGGCGGCGGAGGTGGGGAAGGTGATGGGGAGAGGGGAGGGGAAAGCGGCGGGCGGGCGGAAGGGGGCGGGGGAGGGCGCGCGGTGGCCCCGTGACGTGGCGATTCTCAGCTGGCTGCTGGGGGGGAAAGCCGCCGCCGCTGCGAAGGGAAGGGCGGCGGGGTGTGCGGGCGACAAAGCGGGCAAGGCGGACGAGGCGGACGCGGAAGCTACGGTTTGCTGCATTGCGCGCAACGGGGATGGGTTGAGCGATGATGGCGACTGTGAGAGGGGTGGGGGAGACGGCGGAGAAGGTGGGTTCGGGAGGGGAAGTGAGGAGGGGAGGCAGAGCGGAGGTGAGGCGGTAGGAAAGGGCTTACAGGAGAGCTTGTGCTGCAACGGCGGTAACGGTAACGGTAACTACGAAGGTAAGCGCGGCTGTGGTGCTGGTGGCCCTGGTGGTGGTGTTGAGCGCGGGATCACGAGTGTGCGGTCGAGCAATGGGCGCAGCTACTCGCGCCGCACGCTGTCCGCACTGCCGCTCATCTCCATGCCCGTCTGCCACCTGCCGTCCCCCCCCGCCACTCCCCGCTCCGCCGCTGCCGCCGCTGCTGCTGCTGCTGCCGCTGCTGGTGCTGCTGCTGGTGCTGCTGCTGGTGGTGGCGCTTCTGGTGGTGGCGGTGGTGGTGTTGGCGTTGCTCCTTCGGCTGCTACTCGCTCTGCCACTGCTGCTTGTCCTGTCCCTGGTGCTGCGTCTGATGGTGCTGCTGCTGGTCCTATGTCGTGGATGCTGCCGTTGATGCTGCTGTGGGGGAAAGGGGAGGAAGGAGGGGAGGAGGGCGGAGTGAGAAGGCATGGGGTGGGGGGGGTGAAGGAGCCGGAGGAAAGAGTTGAAGGGGAGAGAGAATACGTTGCTGTTTCGATTGAATCAGAGGAGGAGGGGGAGGAGGATGAATCCGAGGAGGAATCGTCAGATGAGGAGACAGAGGAAGAGGAGGAAGAAGACGAGGAGGAGGAGGCGAGAAAGGAGGAGGCGCAAGGAGACGAGGGGGTGGGTGGGAGAAGAGCAAGCAGCAGCGTGCTTCAGAGCAGCAGTGTAACCTGTGGTCCTAGCGCTTCTAGCAACGCGTTTGCTGGCACGTTCACAAGGGATGGCAGCATTAGCGGGGATACCAGTGCCGCCAGTGTTGCATACCACTCTGGTGCTTGTAGCGCTGCTGCTGCTGCTGCTGCTGCTGGTGCTAGTGCTGCTGCTGCCAGTGGTGCTGTGAGTGTGGCTAGGCAGTGGAAGGAGGGGCTAGGGAGAGGAGGGAGTGTGAGGGGGCAGAGGGAGCGGAGGGGAGGAGAGGAGGGAGGAGAAGGGGAGCTGGTGCGTGTGATGAGTTTGGCGGAAGTGCTGGCAGCAACTGATGGGTTTGCGGAGGAGAGACTGGTGTGTGAAGGGGAGTGCAGTGCGGTGTACAGGGGTGTGTGTCCTGTGACAGGGCAGCTGTGGGCTATGAAACGGGCGAGGGTTGGAGGGCTGGGAGGGGCAGGAGGATGGGCAACAGGGATGGGAGGAGGAAGAATGGGAGGAGGAGAAGAGGGAGCGACAGAGATGGCAGAAGCAGGGAGGAAAGCAGATGAAGAGGCGAGGAGAGTGAGTGTGGAGAGTGTGAGGTTAGAGGAGGAGGTGAGGCGCGTGGCGTGGCTTCGTCATAAGCACATGGTGCAGCTGGTGGGGTGCTGCGAGGAGCAGGGCGAGAGGATCCTCGTTTTTGAGTTCCTCGCTGGAGGCACTCTGGCCGCGGTGCTGCATGGGAATACAAGCTCTGACAAGAACAGCAACAATTGCACCGGCAACGACAGCAGCACTAGCAGCATTAGCTATACCGGCAACAACAGAAGCAGCCACCCTCCCTCGCCCTGCTCATCCTCCTCCCCTTGTGCCTCCGCAGCTGCTGGCTCTCCCGGTTTATCGCTGCAGCAGCGGTTGGACATAGCAGTGGGGGTGGCTCAGGCGTTGCAGTACCTGCACACGGCTGCCAGCAAGCCCTTGGCGCATGGCAGGGTGTCCTCGCACCATGTCATGCTCCCTGCTGCTGCTCCTGCTGCCGTTGCTGCTGCTGCCGCTGCTGCTGCTGCTGCTGAAGGTGATGGTGATGATGGTGATACTGGTGATACTGGTGATGCTGGTGATGCTGGTAGTGGTGGTGGTGACGAGGGCAGTGGAACGGCGAAGATCCTGCCTGCTAGGCTGCTGGACTCGCTGCTGCTGCCCCAGGAGATACGGCAGAAGCAGCAGATGCAGTACGAGAGCCGAGTGGCACAGGGGCAGCTACCCGCAGCAGCAGCAGCAACAGGTGCGTGGGGATCGCCCATGAGTGGCAGTGGTGGCGGCGGTGGTGGCGGCGGTGGTGGTGGTGGTGGCAGCAGTGGGTGGGGCGGAGGCATTCCTCGGGATGCAAGCCGCATGTCGTCGTGTACGAGTGGCAGCACTTGCTGTTGCAGTGGCGACTGGGAGAGAGGTGGCGGCTGCTGCGGTGGGGAGTGTGCAGGGGTGGGAGCAGGAGGAGGGGGAGGAGGAGGGGGAGGGAGTGGTGTGATGAGGGGTGTGGGGGACGATGGAAGGACGTGGGCGGAGGAGGGAGGAGACGGGGTAGTGGGAGGAGACGGGAGGGCAGGGGAGTGGGGAAGACGAGGGAAGGTTGGGGGAGAAGGTGTGGTGAGGAGCGTTGCGGCTGGGTTGCACTGGAGGGATGTGTACGACCTAGGAGTGATGCTGCTGGAGTTGGTATCAGGCCGACCGGCAGTGGTAACTCAAGCCAACGACCTTGCACTAGCTGCTGCTGCTGCTTCTGCAGCTGCGGCTGCTTCTGCTGCTGCCGCCGCTGCTGCTGGTAGTGGTGGTGGGGTTTCTTCTGCTGCAGCAAGTGGTGATGCAGCGGCGGCCTCTGTCTCTGCGTTCTCCGCGCTCCCCATTCGCTTGTGGGCGCTGCTGCTGCTGCAGGCACGGGAACCGCGATTACTGGCAGACCCGCGCCTGAGGGTGTGGGGCGATGAGGGCTCACAGGTGCAGCAGGGGGATTCGCCTACTGAGCTCACACAGGAGGGGGATTCTCCTGCGAAAGAGCAGCCAGCTGCTCTAGAGGCGAATGTGAGTCCTGTGGACGGGCAGCAGCAGCTGAGGGAATTGCTGGGGCGCCTAGCGAGGCTGGATGGTGGTGCGGCTTACCCTGGTGCAGCTGGGGAAGGAGGAGCAGAGGTGGGAGTAGCAGGGGCAGCGGCAGCGGTTACTGGGGAGCGAGGCAGCAGCAGTGTGGAAGGGATAGTGGCTGAGAAGGTGGGTGTGTGCAGGGGGGCTGAGGCGAGCGCTGCGCTGGCGGCAGCCGCGGAGGCGGCAGCAGTGGCGGCGGTGGTGCGCGTTGCAATGCGGTGCACGGCGGACAAGGAGCGGTCGCGGCCGTGCATGAGCAAGGTGCTGGGCAGGCTGATGACCATTCGGAAAGAGCTGCTGGAAGGTTTGGCTAGTGCTGCTGCTGGTGCTGGTGGTGCTGCTGGTGCTGGTGGTGGTGGTGGTGCGGTTGGTGGTGGGGTTGGTGGTGGGAGTAGTGGTCTTGAGAGGAATGGAAAGGAAGAAAGTGGGAATGGTGGTGGTGCTTCTGGTGGTGGTGGGCGGGTTGAAGGGGAGGTGGTGGGGGGCCAGCATGCGTGTGGTGGGAGTGCGTCGAGGTGGTATGAGAGGCGGAGTCTGAGCAGGAGCATGCACCGGGGGCTAAGGAAAGCGTTCAGTGAGAAGGAGAGGGAGAGAAGGCGAAGGGAAAGGGGGGGAGAAGGTGGAGGGGGTGGTGCAAGCACGGAGGTGGAGGAAAAGAGAGTGAGGAAGGTGAGGCGGGCGGAGGCAGAGAAGAGGCGAGCAGCGAGAGGGCCGGGAGGCAGTGGGAGGAAATGGCTGGCGGGCGTGCAGACGGAAATGCAGAGGGAGGTGCGGCGAGAGATGGAGAGGGAGAGAGAGATGCAGAAGCAGGGGCCTGGGGGCGGTGGTGGTATTGGTGGTGGTGGTATCGGTGCATTTAGCAGTAGCCCGTGGAATTGGAGGAATGTGAGGATGCGCCTGGCTGGTGTCCCTGTGGTCATGTCGTCGTCTCCAAGTGCATATGCTGGGACAACCTCCCCTGGTGGTGGGGGTGGTGGTGGTGGTGCTTCAAGTGGTGGGGGTGGTGCTGCTGCTGCTGTGGCTCCTTCAGTGTTGGACTGGAGCCCTGGTTTGAGGCGGCTAAGGACTGCACCCTCCAGGAAGGGACGGGTGATGGAGAGCATCAGGGGCCGCGCACGGGCGGAGAGTGGGGGCGAGAGAAGGGGGGAGGAGGAAGAGAGAAGGGGGAGAGGAGAGGCAGGGGTAGTTGGGCACGATGGGGGTGTTGAAATGAGGCAGCACCCACTGGAGCGTAGAGTGACTTGGCATGCAATGGAAGGAGGTGAGGTGCAGGGGGGTGTGTTTCGGGTGCGGGTGCAGCAGCGGAGCAGCAAATGGATAGGTTTGGAACTGAGCACCTGTGCAGTCCTGGGGTAGACGGGATGCTAAGGAGGGTGGAGGGGGAGGAGGAGGAGGAGGAGGAGGAGGAGGAGGAGGAGGAGGAGGAGGAGGAGGAGGAGGAGGAGGAGGAGGAGGAGGAGGAGGAGGAGGAGGAGGAGGAGGAGGAGGAGGAGGAGGGGAGGGAGAGAGGAGGAAGAGGAAGAAAGGGAGGAGGAAGATGAGGAGGAAGAGGTGGAAGAAGAGGAGGAGGAGAGGAGGATGCTGGGGAGGAAAGCGGGCTAGTTTCAGGATTCAGCCGGGATATGAGTATGGCTACACGCTCTGCTACTCTCACAGTGGACCATCTGTTCTCTGGACAGGCTTATAACGAATACGAGGATGCGGACACAGATGACGATGCGATTGGCCCACACCTGTGGCTGTCTCGAGACAGCTCTTCCTGCAGCAAGGAAGAGCAGCAGGGCCGGGAAGGCAGGGATGGTAATGGTGGGAGGGAGGGAAGGGAAAGGAGAGAGGGCAGGGAGGGGAGGGATTGTAGTGGAGGGAGGCAGAGCAGGGTGTTGAGGGGAAAGAGAGAGGGGAGTGAGTTGGGTAATGGGGTGGGGATGGAAGGTGTGAGTCTGAAGCATTGGGAGTCAGGGAGTGCGTGTGGGGATGAGGAGATGGGTGGTGTGCGAGGTGAGTATCGGGAAACAGGGGTGCGAGGGGGAGGAGCAGGTGCAGAGGCAGGGGCAGGAAGTGCAGGTGCTGCTGCTGGAGGTGGGGGTGGGGGTGGGGGTGGGGGTGACCTGTGGTCGTGGATGATTGGGGGGAGGGGTTGAGGGGGGTACGGGTGCGTGTTGTGGGTTGAGGTGGAGTGAAGGGAAGGGTGAATGGGCGGTGAGGAAGAGGGGCTGAATGCCAGTGGGTGGGCTGATTGGGGTGGGTGGTGTGTGCTGAGTGAGGGAGTTGAGGGAGAAGAAAGGAATCAACTATCCTCGGCTGAGTCAGTGCTGGGTCAAGTAGGAGGTTATGCAGCTGCACTGATATGGTGCCGTGCATGCACAGGCAAGGGAAGGTTTCGTCTTAACAGTTCAAGGGTCATTTTCATAACACTGTCTGTATCGTATCAAATCATATTATGGTACATTTTGTGAAATCGCAAAAAATGTATTGCATGCAAACACAATGCAGTGAAGATGCAGTCCACATATACGGCACTACCGTATGATTGTTGCCGGTTTGTGCCATCAGGAAACAGAAAGCCTAGTACCCGATGTGGAATACCTTGAACTAAGAGAAGAGGAATCGGTCAATTAGGTCAAGGGTGGGGGTACAAGCAAGAGTGTCGAGGTGAATTGTGTACCCCCTAAGGCTAGCCCCTATATAGCCTAGATAACATTAAACACATATGCTTTGACACACCCCCATAGGCTTAGTGGGGGATAGCCAGAGCAAACAAGGGTCACAAGACCAGTCAAGAAAACCAAAGCAAGCTCAGGGTGGATCACGAAGTCACCACACATTTCGAGCACAAGCAAATGGCCACAAGGCCAGTTTACATGCAGTATTACATAAAAAAGAACAAACAGTTCGTACAGTGATCATTACATAGCAAGAGTAAGCATGCAGGTATATATATATAGATCACAGTACAAGCAAAGTCACGCAGTGAGCAAGTGAGACGAAGCACGCACGTAAAGCAGTACAGAAACGCTGATGATCACCAGACGGAAGCGCCTTGGTGAATATATCAGCAGTGTTGGCCCGAGTGGCCACGTAAGCAAGACAAAGCTGACCACGCTGCTGCAAGTAAGGAAGTAACGCAGAGCGATGTGCTTCGTTTTGTGCTCCTGTTTGTGCTCTTGACACAAGGCAATGGCGGCCTTGTTGTCTACGTACAGAACTGGAGGAGAACGAGGCCGCTCTCCCAAGTCGGTTAGCAGGTAGATAAGCCACCGTAACTCCTGCACAGCCATCGCTCCTGCGTAGATCTCAGCCTCACAACTGGAGCTGAGAACAGAAAATGAGCGGATAGACCGCCAAGAAACAGAGCCGGAGCCAAGGCTGAACGTGTAACCCTGTGACGACCGCTGCGTAGCCAGGTCGTCAACCCAGAACGCGTCTGAGTGTCCAGTAAAGACAACTCGACTCCGTCCTTCAAGCACGAACCACATGCCCGATGTACTGCACAAGTAGCGCAACACCCTCTTAGCAGCCCCACAGTGCTCTCGTCGGTGTCTCCCGGGCGCAACATAGCAAGACAGGATGCTAAGAGGGTAGGCAAGGTCAGGTCGAATGCAGCCCACAAGCTCTGGATATGGGCCACTCGGCTCTACGGACTCGTCCGAAGGTGGAGCTGAGAGCGAGTGACCGGTAGCCAGAGGAGTGGACTGTGGCGAGGACTACGTGAAGCCAAAGCGCTGAAGGACCTGGTGCACCATGTGTGACTGAGTCAGGGTGATGGTGCGCCGTGCTTTGTCCCGGGTGATCTGCAAGCCAAGATAGCTGCGCAGCTCACCCAGGTGATCTGCAAGCCAAGATAGTTGCGCACGTGTGTCTCTTCTGCAGCTCCGACTTCACAAGGGCTAGTGCCTCAGTGTTAGCAGTGGCAAAGACCAAGTCGTCGACGTACACGAGGATGTAGAGCGGCGGCAGCGAAGTGTCGGTGCGCAGAAACAGCAACGGGTCAGCAGTCGAAGGAGCAAACCCAAGAGCCGCAAGTGTCGTCCTCAGTGTGTCGTGCCACTCACGAGACGCCTGGCGGAGATCGTAGACTGGCCGCCAGAGGCTCCACTGGGTACCTGCAGGAAACGACCCAGTGAAGCCAGGTGGGCGGCGCAGCCAGATCTCCTCGTGCAGGCTGCCCTGTAAGAAAGCTGTGTTGAAGTCAAGAGAGTGAAGCTCGTAGTTACGCTGAGCGGCAACGTGCAGCAGCACTCGAAGAGTGGTCATCTTCGGGGTAGGGGAGAAGGTCTGGAAGAAGTCAACTCCCTGACGCTGACTAAAGCCTCGTGCAACGTAACGAGCCTTGTAGACAGGCGGAGAACCCGGCGACCGCTTCACCCTGAAAATTCACATGCCATCGACTATGTTCGCCCCAGGGAGGGTAACTACGTCGACGTAACTGCCTGTGGACTTCCAAGATGCCATCTCTGCGTCCATGGTTGCCTGCCACTGAGAGGAGTAGGGACCCGAAATCGCCTATGCTTAAGAGCGCAGGGTCGGGATGTTTAGTGCATCCAGGTCTCCCTCAGGGGCAAGCAGCATGGCCACGAGATGAGGTACAGCAGCTGCAAGACACTCAAAGTCCTCCTGCCTGTCCTCAAGGACGTCCGTGCCAAGAGCACACTCACCCCCGACGGACGGAAGACAGACAGACTCAGACTCAACAACAAGACTAGCGGCGTAGTCTAGATGACAGGCAGCAGCAAAGTCAACAAGCTTAGCAACTAAGGCAGACGCAGCAGTGGACTCAAACGAAGGGTCAGTGACAACAGTGGCTAGGAGACGCGTGACAGTAGGGCTGGCAGCACGAACCAAGTCAGACTCAGGGTCCGGAACGTGCGGAAGAGAGGACGCAGGAGGAGACGGCAGGGGGACACGCTGCGGAACAGAGGAAGGACGAAGTGCCATAGTCTGAGTGTTGGGAATTGAAGGAGGACGCTGACGAGGAACACGGTGACCAGTGCGAACAGCGCGAACAGGCGAGGCAGGACGAGACTCAGGCTCACGACGCTCTGTAAGAGAGTCTGTCTGCGCAGTGTAAGGAGAAGGAGCAGGCAGTGGGGAGTCTGGCTGTAACAGTGGCCTCGACTGGTCAGGCGGTGGACATAGTAAGGGAGGAGTAAAGCCAGTAGAAGACGAGAGACTAAGAACCTGGCGAAGCACAGAGTCAGGCGGTGGCAGAGACGACGGTGACGGCGGAGCGAAGAACAGTCGCGGCTGTGCAGTACCACCAGCACCAGCTCCTCCAGCACCAGCACCTCCAGTACGAGTACCAGCAGCTCCAGCGGCTCCAGCAGCTCCAGAACCTCCAGCTCCAGCGCCTCCAGCACCAGCGCCTCCAGCACCAACGCCTCCAGCTCTTGCGTCACCAGCTCTAGCATCTCTAGCTCAAGCTCCTCCAGCTCCAATGCCCGCAGCACCACCAGCTCTGGTAGCTCCAGTATCTCCACCTTCGGGACCAGCAGTGCCAGCACCACCAGCACCTCCAGCACCAGCAGCACCACCAGCTCCAGCAGCTCCAGTACCTCCAGGACGAGCACCTCCAGGACCAGCAGCTCCAGCTCCTCCGGTACCTCCAGCTCCAGCGTCTCCAGCTCTAGCAGGGGCTCCAGCGGCAGGGTCTCCAGCTCTAGCAGCACCGTTTCGATGGCGGGTGCGCTGTGAATACCATTCGCGTAGCTGCTATGATGAGAGAGGCTCCCGCCGGGAAGACCGCCGCGACGAGGCACCCATAGGACCTCCAGCAGTCGCAGCACCCCTAGGCTCAACACCCCCAGACTCACCCCCAGGCTCCGCACCCGTAGGCTCAGCACCCCCAGGCTCTGCACGCTCAGGCTCA